TTTGTAGAAAACACACTCCATTCCATTGGTTAATTTGTTGTTCATCTCAGGCACTCAGTTTCTGCATCTCTAAAATGAAAGGGGTGGAGGAGCTGGAGCCTGCTCTCCCTGACAGCATGGAGGATCTTACAGAATGTCATGATCACCTTGAACTTGAAGGCCTCTTCTCCTCCCGGTACTGCCCCGACTTCCTTGAGGCTGTGCCTATACTTTGCGGCCCTTCCGAGATCCTGATCTCCTTGGCTGGGCTCCCCTACAGGCTCAGCTGAGGACACAGGTGCAGGGTGTTGTGAGCTCGGCCATTGGCTAGTGTTTGGAATGAAGGGAGTAATGGCTGCAGCTCAGGGTGCAGCTGGCTTTCTGACCCACAAGAGCCTCCTTCTGGAGTCATCCTAGAGTAGAGTTTCTCTGTCATTTACTGCAGGCTTAATTGGGAAATGCCTTGTGATTGCTGCATAAAAAAAACACCATCTTGGTAATGTTGTTATACGAGATGAAACATTACAGAAACCCCACACTCCCAGTATAGGCAGATACACTGCCCAAAGAAACAGGAGAGAGAAACACTAAGTTTCTCATGATGAGATTATTCAGTTCAGAAAGAGGGAAAATCCCCCTCAACCAATTAACAAAAAATCTTGCTTCCAATGGTGCCCAGCACTCTTGATACCTCTTAAAGAGAAGTTGTTACCATATCACAATGGTACTCCCTTTATTTTTTTTTTTTAAGACAGGTTCTGACTGTCACCCAGGCTGGCGTGCAGCAGCATGATCATGGCTCACTGCAGCCTCCCTGGCTCAGCAATCCTCCCACCTCAGCCTCCCAAGCAGCTGGGACCACACGTGCATGCCACCATGCCCAGCTAATTTTTATATTTTTAGTAGAGACAGGGTCTCATCATTTTTCTCAGGCTGGTCTTGAACTACTGAGCTCAAGTAATCCTCCTGTCTCAGCCTCCCAAAGTTCTGGGATTATAGGCATTAGCCACTGTCCTCAGCCAATAGTACCTGTTCTAAACAAGGTACTTGCTCCATGGTTCAGTTCATTAACCTCTTCTCTACCTATAATTACTCTCTGGGCAAACTCATTCTGGAGATGATTTAGATACAATTGTAAATATAAACAGATAAATAACACTGAACTTCCACTTCTGGAAAGATGAAATACTTACTTTATTCTTCTCTAGACGGACAACTAAAATCCCTAGACATAGCTATAAAAAAATGAAAAATAAAAAACATGAGAAGCCTGTGAAAAATGGAGAGAAGTCAACTGGCCGAGAACCACAGGACCCAAGAAACAACACGGTGTTGAGTCTCATGAGTTTTCTTTTGGCTTCAGCTGTCCTATATTTGGAGCTGAAGAAGTAAGCAGTAGCCCACGTCTACTTCTGTGGCGTGATTTCACTCTCAGATGCTCATGTTACAATGCCCCCACTACCTGCGATTCTTTGTTGAAAGGAGCAGCTTAACTTTTAATAGGAAAGAAACAGCAAGTCCATGCTCCACAAATCTCAGTGACAATTGACTATTACTCTTGAAGATCAGGTCTTTCTTTTATTTAGGTGATAAATGCAGCACCAAAAGCAATTTAATATCCCTGAACTTGGCATTCACAGATGGGATAAGAGGGTGGGAGATGCCGAAGCTTCTATGCTCAGAGGTATTTTTTATTTACTGTATGTCGTAAACCACCAGTGCAGAGTGGAGAACTGTATAATGCTGTGTTATTTTGTGTGCATTATTGTGCATGTGTGTGTAATTGTGTGCAGAGCTCAGTGATTAGGTTGGAAGTCTGAAGTTCCATTCCCTGGGTGCAAACCTCAGTTGTATCACTGTCTTAGTCTGTTTTGTGCCCTTGCTACAAAAGGATACCTGAGACTCTGTAATTTATTTTAAAAGTACATTTATTTGGATTTTTCCAGTTAATATCGTAACAATGCCGATTTCCTACATTTGGTCATTGTGCTGTGATTATGTAAGATGTAAGCATCAGTGGAAGCTGGGTGAAGAGTGTATGGGAATTCTCTGTACTATCTTTACAACTCATCTCTGTGTCAAAAGTTATTTCACAATAAGAAGTTAAAAATGTTATTTTTTAAAGCTAAAAAAAAAAAGTTATTTAGCTCATGGTTCTGTAGGTTGGTCATTCCAGGGCATGGCCCTGGTGAGGGCTTTCTTGCCGCCTCGCAACTTGGTACAGAAGAGGGTCAAAGGTGAAGCAGGTCACCTGGCTTTATAACAACTCTTTCTCCTGAGAGCTAGTCCACACCCATGAGAACTAATCCACACCCATGAGAACTAATCCAGGCTCAAAAGAACTAGGACTCACCACTGGGAGGACAGCACCAAGACATTGATGAGGGATCTGCCCCCGTAACCCAACCCTTCCCACCACCCTGTGTAATGACCCTTACCACCACTGCACCCTTCCCTGAACAGGCGTGTCCGCAGTGCATGTGGTGTGTACTCTTGAATGGCATCAATAAAGCGTATGAAGTGTGTATTATAGATGTACATGTTTACAATGTATGAAACTCGATTCTGCCATGTGCCGATGCTTGTTTTTCCACCAGTAGCTTGAGAGGGGCGGAAGAACAGCCTTGATTTGTGGTGTTTGTCAATATCTTTGGTGTAAATTCTCCCACAATGGATCATATCATGCTGCTAATGCTTTACAATTGACTCAGAAATTTAACAAGCTGCTCCTCTGAGCAAACACAGGTGGCTTAACACACACTGATGTTTTTGCAGTAGACACATTGTGTTTCTTTACTCCTTTCCCGCCAGGACAGTGCTTTTAAGAGCCCTCCTGATGGTCTCAGCTCCTTCACTGATTACTTCTGACGTTGCAGCTGAGGAGAGGTCTGTCTCAATGACTTAGTCCCATCCAGCAAACTCAGGATTTGTTTGTGTCATTGCCCTTCACAAATTTTATAGTCAATGTTGAGTTTGGGTCATTTTAAGGGTAGTTTTTTTGTGCATAGAAGGAACTATTTGAGTCTGTGTGTTCATTAAAAGTACTTCATTAAAGTAAAGCAATCAGAATTCAAATTATATTTAAGCATTTGATTTTGACTTAAAAGTCTTATTATTCTGTTTACAAATATATATATAATGTGTATGATTGATAAACATACACATTATATATAAAAATGTTAAGAAGGGTTTAAATAATGTGATTGCATAGTTTTGTTTATATTTTTGTTTGTTTTTCTGAAACAGAGCCTCACTCTGCCCAGGCAGGAGTACAACGGCATGCCCTCGACTCACTATCACCTCTGCCTCCTGCGTTCAAGAGATTCTCCTGCCTCAGCCTCCTGAGTAGTTGGAATTATAGGCATAGTGCCACTATGCCTGGCTAATTTTTGTATTTTTAGTAGAAACAGGGTTTCACAATGTTGGCCAGGCTGGTCTCGAACTCCTGACATCAGGTGATCCACCCACTTCGGCTTCCCAAAGTGCTGGGATTACAGACGTGAGCCATGTGCCTAGCCATATATTTAAATATTTTAATCATTTTTAAAATTTCATATATGTAATTCACATCTTAAGCAGTTCGAATGTCTTATTAGAAAACTATTCCAATTTACTTATCCCAAGTAACATAATAATCCCAGCTAACAGAGTATATTAAACTACTAAATATAGGAATCTCAATTTCTCATAACGAATTCAATGATTTTTAAGTATACATTTTCAAATTAAAAGGCACACATTCTAAAATTTCTTTTTTAATTTTCAGTTTATTTGGCACTGGAAGACAAACCTGTCATATAATATGTAAAATTACCTTAATTATTGCATTTCACAATGCAACTCTTATCAAATCATTCCTAAACATAACACAAAAATATTATTAAAAATAAAAATTAAATGATTTATAAATTAACCTTAATACATTAGTAAATGTAGAATTAATGAAATCATTGTAGGATTTGAAGACCCATTAAGAAAATTATATCAAGTTCAACAAATTGCAGTTACAATTCTAAGCAAATTTGTTTGATGAGCAGAGATTTTTGGCTGTCACGGAATTTGGAGATACAAGAAACCTGGCTGTTTTCACCAAATATGTCTATTCAAACTTTTTCTAGAGTTTCTTTTTTTTTTCTTTTTTTTCTTTTTTTTTTTTTTGAGACAGAGTCTCACTCATCAGGAGCTAGGCTGGAGTGCAATGGCATGATCTTGGCTCACTGCAAACTCCGCCTCCCGGGTTCAAGCAATTCTCCCGCCTCAGCCTCCCGAGTAGCTGGGACTACAGGTGCGCGCCACCATGCCCAGCTAATTTTTTTATTTTTAGTAGAGACGGGGTTTCACCATGTTGGCCAGGATGGTCTTGATCGCTTGACCTCATGATCCGGCCGCTTGGGCCTCCCAAAGTGCTGGGATTACAGGCGTGAGCCACCGCGTCCGACCTAGAGTTTCTATATTAGGGGGATACTAAATCCATTCTCTTCCTATGAAGTAGCCTTCCTACTCATGCTCCTCACATACAAGTCACATATTAGCTAATTTTAGCGACCACTCACGTTGCTTCCAAACTGATGATATTCAGATTGTTTTTACTACTCAGTTCTCTCCCGTCATGGACTGGGTTTTAGCAATTCCCTGCCTGGCTGTGCCGCTTCTTTTGCAGGTATCTGAACAGCATGGGACTGAGGTCTTCACCTGTCCTGAGTTTCTGTTTGTAGCTGTATTCTTGGTTTGAGTCACTGTGATGACAGCAGCACCCAGGACTTTGATGCCCACCCGTTACCTACCTGAAGCTGCTCTTCCTAAGAACAAAAACGTCCTCCTTGCTGAAAATGAAATGGACACTGTTTAGTCCCACAGCGAGTCTGTTGTTGATCGTTTCTACTTGAAACTAGGATCTATTGCAGTGCACGCTCCTGGTTTTCCTTCATTCTTTTCTGAATGTGCACCTTGCACATGTGTGGGGTTTATTGTACCTGTGTGGGTTTTTGTTACTTTATTATTATTTTTTCTTTAATGTTCTGTCTCCATAGAGACTGTCAAATATTGCCAATGTTGACTACATTTCAAATCATCATGACAGAGTATTGGGAAAATTTTTCAAGCAATAATGACACACACCTCAGATAAACCTCATTGTGTATGACACTGCCACTGTGCGAAGCTTGTATGAGTTTTTAAAAAATGTTGAAATGGATATTTTAGGGCATAAAGAGGAAGGCCACAATAATTTCTGCCTGACTTAATCTAGTATATTGGATATTTAAAGGAAGAAATTTTGTTTTGTTTTGTTTTGTTTGAGACAGAGTCTTGCTCTGTCACCCAAGCTGAAGTGCATGATCTCAGCTCACTGCAGCCTCTGCCTCTGAGGTTCTAGCAATTCTCCTGACTCAGCTTCCTGAGTAGCTGAGACTACAGGCATGTGCCACCATACCTGGCTAATTTTTTGTATTTTTAGTAGAGATGGGGTTTCACCATGTTGGCCGGGATGATCTTGAAATCCTGACCTTGTGATCCACCTGCCTTGGCCTCCCAGAGTGTTGGGATTACAGATATGAGCCACTGCTACCGGCCTAAAGGAAGAAATTGTAAAATCGTTTTAAAATTTTAAACATTTGATACTCCACAAATTTCACTTAACAAAGTGAATAACCTTAAAAAACTAGAATGGCTGAGAATGTCTACGCATTAACAGATATTAAACAATTGACTGAGTACCGAAAACTTCTAACAACTTATCGTTATTAGATTTGTACCATAGGAATCTGGCTCTTGATGGAGGAGGAGGCGCAACAGCACAGATAAAGATGTTTCACTTCCTCACTGTTCTTCTAAATACGTCTCCTTTCCTTTGGTGATCCCAAATAATCCTTTATCTTTGTACAATCCTTTATCTTTGCAATGATAAGTGTCAAATAATTACTCTCAGGCTTAACTTATCCCCCTTTGTAAAAACGTGTCACCAGATACATCCTAGGCTTCTCCATTTGAACACATGTAGGTGCCTCGAACTTTACAAAAACACCAAAGGTCTCATCACTTTCCTCCTGAATTTGCTTCTGTTTCTGTGTCTTTGTCTTGGACAGAAATGTAACCAACCATTCACCTTCCACCCCAGCGAGAGTTCTGAAGTCAACTCTGAAACCAGTCAAAGCACACCTACCAGTCTCCAGGACATTCCTCCAATTGATCCTACTCACTCCCCTGCCAGTACACCTACCCCATTTTCCTCCTTAACCAACTCTCCCTCCATAGGGGAATAAATGCACCACGCTTTGGCTTGCCTCAAATATTGTCTTGTTTCCATTTATTCTCTGTAGTACAGCCACAATGCTCTCACAAAAATGCTCTCAATCTGTGCATTTCACTCTCTTCGTTGATGATCCTGCTATTCTGACAAAACATCCCAGAGTCTAAATATGTTAACCAAGGATCTCCATACAGAGGAGTTTGGAGTCTCCAAACTGTATGGAGACTCCAAGGATCTCCATACAGAGACTCCAACTGAAGGAGTCTCCTTCAGTTGCTGAGGTCCTACTTCCAGGATTTCTGACTTAGTTGGTCTGGGTGGGGCTGAAACACATATATACTCTTTCACTTGGTAGTAACCAACAGTCAGGTTGAGAAAATTAATCAAGTATCAGGCTGTTTGGATATGATTAGAATATTTAGCTGGATGTATTCTAATATTTAGTACATTTCACAGCTGTGTGAAATTATCTATATTCCCTGTTTCTTCAATTGAATGGCCATGTAATAACTGTGCCTTCATTGTATAATTTTTGTGCAAATAGAATGAATCCAAAGCCCTGAACCTAATAAGTGCTAATTAAGTGAAAACTACTGATATTATTTGTACAACTTTATTTGCAGTTACTGTGTTATATTTTACGTGCCGGAAGCCTGTAGTTTCACACAGAATGTTATTTCTTGCTCATTCTATTACTTGTGCCTGGGATTAGAAACTCTGAATTTCTGCATTAGTCCGCATTCTCTAGAGGGACAGAACTCATAGGATATATGTATATATAAAAGGGAGCTTATTAGAGAGAACTGGCTCACAGGATCACAAGGTGAAGTCCCATGACAGGCTGCCTGTCACTTCAGAGGAAGGAAGGCAGTAGTGGCTCAGTCCCAGTGCAAAACCCTCGAAAGCAAGGAAGCTCACAGTGCAGCTTTCAGTCTGTGGTGGAAGGTCCGACAGCCCCGGGCAAACCATTGGCGTAAGTCCAAGAATCCAAAGGCTGAAGAACCTGGAGTCTGTTGTCCAAGGGCAGTAGGAGCAGAAGGAAGCATCCAGCATGGGAGAAAGATGAAAGCCAGAAAACCCGGCCAGCAAGGTCATCCCACCTTCTTCTGCCTGCTTTGTTCCAGCTGTGCAGCACAGATGGTGCCCACCCACACTGAGGGAGGGTTTTCCTCTCCCAGTCCACTGACTCAAATGTCGGTCTCCTCTGGCAACACCCCCATGGACACACCCAGGAAACAGTACTTCACCAGCCATCTAGGCATCCTTCAATCCAATCAAGCTGACACCTAATATTCAATCACCATAGCTTCCTTCCTTTCACTTATCAATGATTCTTTCAGACTTAAGTTTAGTCATCATCTCCTTCCCGATGTATACCAGGCTCCTTCCTTATCTCTGTCCTGACTGAATTCCACACTGCTTAATAATGATGTGTCTAGATGTGTATTTCTCTATCTAAAATGTTAGCGTATTTACAATTAAAAAGTAGGTACTGGACTGTGTCCTATGCATATCTGTGTCTCCATCCTTTACCTATGATAATATAAGATGAAAAATACATACTCATTAGCTCTTATGATATCCTGGCCTCTTAGACGAAGCTATGTAAGTCAGTATGTCACTTTACCATGTGAGAAAACAGGCTTAAAATGGCATATATATTATATCATTAATACTCATTAGAAATGGGACCAGAGAGAAGAAAGCTGTGTTTCAGAATAAAATCTCTCATAAAATATTAACGATAAATAATTGGTAAACTAAGTCAATAAATAAATCAGGGGAGCAAAAACAACAAACAATTGTAAATTTTGCAAAAACGATTCTATGTGTATCATGTATTCTATGTGTATCATGACAGCAGGCTTTCAGAATTCAGAACTAAACTGACAAAGCAGATGAAGCTTTTTAAAAAGTGGATGAATCTGGAAACCATCATTCTCAGCAAGCTGACACAGGAACAGAAAACCAAACACCTCATGTTCTCACTCATAGGTGGGTGTTGAACAATGAGAACACATGGACACAGGGAGGGGAACATCACACACTGGGGTCTGTTGGGGGATGGGGACCTAGGGGAGGGATGGTGGTGACCGGGGAGATTGGGGAGGGATAACATTGGGAGAAATACCTAATGTAGGCGACCAGGGGATGGAGGCAGCAAACCACTATGGCATGTGTATACTTATGTAACAATCCTGCAAGATCTCAGAACTTCAAGTATAATAATAATAAAAAAAAAAAGATTTAAAAAGTGATTAGTCATTGTGCCAAGTAGTATTTAAATCCCAGCTAACTAAAATTTTTGTGATGAAATTTTTAAGAAAAAAGAATCATGTTTTGACTCAGGTTAGGCAAAACAATAACTTGAAAGAAAATTTTTTATTCTAGATCTCACCAAAAGAGAAAGAAAAGGAGAAAATAATCTTGTAAAGTTATGATTTTAGCCTGACTTTGAGGAGTTTCCTATTCTGCAGATACTTAAGAAAATAAATAAATACTAAAAGAAAGAAGGAAAGTAGGCAATGCTATTGGAAATTTATCAAGACCCTGCTTTAACGCAGTTGGCAAATGAGCAAAGATAAGCCAACACTTTAGGCATTTTTTAGCATAGCATAGCACCCTGTGTGACAAACCCCAATCCTCCTTAGCCATGTGGCCTTGGACAGCTTTTCTGGAGGTTATAACTTTTAAAATTCTTTTCTAAAATGGTGATGCTAATAACTATTTCCCAAAGCTGCTAGGGAAAAACGAGATAATATACAGAGAAAAATAAAAACTTTGCAAAGTCCATGGCGTGCGGAGAAAACTGAATCAACCTTTTTCAAATGAAAGCTCACATACACCTGAAAATTGTATTCGCGTAAAACTTTCTTCTTTATAATTGGTGTCATAATAGCTATTTCTATGCCTTAAACTTCTTTAAAGTAAGACTGGGATTGACATCTGAATAAATGTGAATGGCAATTTCTTGATCAAAAAGATGATTATATAATGTATGATTAAATCATAATACTAAATATTTAAAAGCACTTATTTCCCCAATGGGTAGCTTCCTACATTAGGAATGAAAAGATTTCTCTTTATCTACTGACTCACAGTGATTTAAAGTTGAACCTTCACAAAACCAAGGCATTTTTACATGTCACCTTGTACTCACACAAATATTCCTCCAAGGGTTAAATGGCATATTGATTAAGATTAGAAATACACTACTCCAAAGATTGCCATTTTCCTTTCCCTTTCCCTGTATCCAAACTTAAAGGTTATAGTTTTAGAACAAACAATGAGAGGAATGACCTTCCGTTAGTAGATATGGTGAATGCATCTCCTTTAAAGTCTGGGCCACTAAGATTAGAACTAGGCATGGGGCAAATCTAAACAAAGGGGTGGTGTCTGTGTATTGCTTCAGGTCAGCTGTTGAAGGTTTTTATTTGATGCAAGTGTACCGTTCTTGAAGGTCCACAGTCCTTTGAGTAACTGGCTCTAAAGGCTTTGGCTGACACACTCAGGTTGTGGAAGTAGGTGGAAAACTGGAGGAGTGTTAGAATGACTGATGAGGAGGCTGCTGTGTTCAGGGGTTAGGTGATGGCGCACAGGCATCCACAGATACCTCCTAAGGGAAGAAAGTGGCTTTGCTCTGTGGAGGAGGATAGCAGCAGGGCCTGGGAAGGGGAGCTTGCCTCTGCTTCCTCCAGGGAGTTTCCCAAATTGCTCTGTAAATATAGGGTTCTGGAGTGTACACACCAACGCAGGCGCAGGCCCATTTCTACCGGCTTAGACAGGGGCACACAAAACAACACAAAACATATCAACAACAAAATGAGAAAACCAAGGACAACATCGGAGGACTAGGGCCCAAAAGATGTGGTGAGGTTGAATATTTAAATGGTGGTGCACAGTGTGGACAGAGAAA